TAGGCAAGGATGAGCAAAATGTCACCTACCTACACTTGTTAAAATAATAAACAGTTGGTATTCTAAGCACTTCACAGGCATTTATCCATTGACTCTTCACAACAAATCCTGGGTGTAGATGTGATTATTATCATTTGGACATAAGCAAAATGATCTGCAGAGATATTGTGTAAGATAGGGAGGAGGTGAGAGAGCCAAGATTCCAACTCCATCACCTGATGTAGTGTGTAATGCTCCCAACCAGCAGCAGGCGCCACAGCAGGCCACCTCTAAAATCAGGGCACAGAAGAGATCTGAGTGATGCTCGTCTCCCTCTGAAGTGCAAATGTGACATTTCCCCCCAGCTGCAGTCATGGTGTGTGAGAAGAGCAGAGGGACATTCAAGAGTAATGAGATTTCTTCCTGTTATCATCAAGGTTGCAACAGCTGGGGCTGTGATCAGAGCAAGGGTAGGAACTAGAGAGTCCACTTCACAGCCAGGGGCCAGTGACAGTCAACAGCCCATCATGCTAACACCAGAGTCAGTAGAGTCCAGCCACCACCTGGCAGGATTAAAACAGAATAGAAGTTTTGAAGTCAGAGAAATGAATTAGGGACCATTTCCAGTAACTCTCTTATTTTCAAATGAGAAAACTTAGGCACAAATAAAGTGGATTAATTTGTCCAGATTACCCAACTAGTTTATCTAAGATATAAGATGCAAAAGGAGAGCTTTTTTTTTCCCTCAGTGAACACAAAGAATAACTTGAAAGCATGCCTTCAATGAAGACTTGTCTGATTCTTGTAAAATGCATCCCTAGCACTTTGTATGTGCTTCTGTTAAAATGGTGAATTATTCACCTGTGCGTAGGTTTCTTCTTCACAACAGCAGAGGTACATCTTGACAGCTCTGCCTGCTAATTGAGTGACCTGTGTTGAGTTCCATCACCTCTCCAGTACTTCTTCTCTTTCTCTATAGAGAAAACAATTGTTCCGACTTCACAGTTTTGCGAGGGCAATTCGATTCAATCCCACACAGCACTGTGTGCCAAGCAGATTCAGTGGTGGTAAGTAGCAGTTACTATTGATTTTGTGTCTCCCAGCTGTTGACTCCCATGTTTGGTAAATCAACAATTTATCATTCCACCGAGAGGCAGAGCATTAGAGAGGCATAATAATGCCATATGGAAAGAGGTCCAGAGAAGGTCTAAATCCAAAAGGGTGGTAAGAACTGAAAGTACAGGAGGAAGAAACTCACAGAAGTAGGAGCAACTTCACCATGAACTCCATCTCCAAAACCTGCTTCATGGTTCTATAGCTTGGGATGCTCAAGATTTAAATAAGGTGAGTTTCTTTTACCCACATTTTTAGACAGACTTAAAAGGATTTCAAACATATGGCTGGTAGGTGGCAAAGCCAAATGGGTCCTGCACTCCTACAAATCACTGTGAAAATGAGATAAGCTGATGCAAGTGGACTTATCGGCACAATGGTTGGAACTGGAGGGATGGTGATATCATGGCTGGTTTTGTTATTGTAATTATATTCCACATATCCCTCCTGCACTGGGCCCAGCAGAGAAGCATGGTGGCAGTATGATTCTGAAGGAAAAAGCAAGTCTTCTAACTCCCAATCCATCAGCCCCAGGAGAAACACCAACTCTGGCTGCTCCAGGAAGTATCTCCCCAACTCAGAGTTCTATTGCCCAGCACTTTGTTCAGGTGGAGCAAGAGGCTGACAGAGCCAGAGGCAGGCAGGGCGGCCCACATTTAACCAGACACCTAACCTAGTTATCATTCTACCTTAACCTTTCTTGATAAGGCAAAGAAGCAGAGAGGCAGCAGAGATGGCAGCATCAGCAACCATGAAAACAACCAGGAGAGAAAGCAGCTGGCTCTGGAGGGCCTTGTGCCAAACCCTAGGCCCAGAGGGACTCTGGCAGTGATGATAGTGGTAAACAAACAGAGCTGATGGCTGCACAGGGTGCTAGATCCTGCCAGGAGGGGACTGAGGAGATAGGATTCCTGTAATTATGCTAGTGTGGGCTCAGCTATCATGAGGTTGTCCACAGCAGACTCTGATCTGTCCCCAGGCTGGGGTTGCTGCAGCACCTGTTCCAGCAGAAGTAGTCTGGCAAGCCAAACAAAACAGGATTGTCCACGCCACCTGTAAAGGAATGTGCTGCCTAATGACATGTGCAAAGCACCTAATTGTCATAATCAATTTTGAACCTCTTCATTGGTAGGTGCTAAACAAGCACCACAGAGCGAAAGCCCATTTCCTGAAAAGGTGTTTTTATCCCCCCACCATTAACACTGTGAGCAATCGTGTCATTCGAAAAAGCCAAGCATCATATTTTCATCGTGAAATTGTTTTTAGTGCCTCTTCTTTTGGCCCTCTCTCTCCGCTTTTGTTATGAGCATCTTACTTTCCTCGGTTTATTCAGTTACTGCTTCCCTGATGAGTAATTTGGGTTATAATTATTTTCTCATTTCCTCTCCAACTGGCACTAGTTTTGGCCCCTTCCATCTCATATATCTTTAAAATGTCACACTGTTGCCCTGGTTTATTTTAAAACCCTGGTACAAGGGGAACTGTAACCAATGTAGGCACATCCTTCCATCTCTTAGAAAACTTTCCTTCTGGCTTCCTGTGTGCCACTGCTGATAGGAAGACAATCCAGCAAGCTGACAACAAACAGTAGAGTGTCATTTCAAACAAAAATGGTAAAACAATCATCTGTTTCTGCTACCTAAAAAAAAAAGGCAAGGGATGTCTAGAAAAACAGAAACATTTAATAGTGATAATGTCCCATATGAAGCTCTCATTACGTTTTCATATTGCACAGCCAAAATTACAAGGCCAAGGCCAATCCTACTGATTAGGACTTCCATAATTAAGATATTTTTGAGGCAAAGAGTTTCTGTCTCTTCATCTGGGGTTCCTAAAATAACGTTTATCTCTGAAAATTAGAATAAAAAAGTGGTAACAAAACTTTGCAATAAAATAATGAACTTTTTTTTTTCTTTTTGGTCTGAAAACTTTAACATCAATGCATCTATTTTCAGAAGTTCTCTTTCATATTTCTTTCTTTTGATGTCCAATATAGCACATCATCAGTATGATCAAACTACATAAATACTAAGCAATGTCTATAATCTATATTTTCTAAGGAACTGAGTTTATAAATGAATCACCTTGAGTATTTCCTCAGAATCATAAGTATTTATAAATATGATCCTTAAAACACTCTTGAGAATGATCATTGCAACAATTAAGGGGCAGCTTAAAACAAATATAACAATAACAACAACAGCAAAAAACATCATGAGGAACTCATTCCTCATAAATTCAATAAAATTAAAAGGAGCCAGACATGGTGATACATGCCTATAATCCCAAAAGATGGAGAAGCTGAGGCAGGAGAACACAAGTTCAAAGCCCACCTCAGCAAGTTAGTCAGGCCCTAAGCAACTTAGCAAGACCCTGACTCAAAATAAAAAAATTAAAAAAGAGCTGGGGATGTGATTCAGTGGTTAAGCACCTCTGGGTTCAATTCCCAGTATGAATAATAATAATGAAAAGGAAGAAACACATAGGAAATATGTTTTTACAAACCTAATTTTGAATATCACTGTGTATATTCATAATAGCTCATAATAGCTCAGTCCTACAGAGGTAAGAAATTAAGTATCAATAGGCTAGAATAATTTACTTACTATGGAAAAAAGTTAAAGACAAACTAAACTTGGTCCAGATATTCTCAAATACTCACACTAGAAAAAATTTTATTTCTTTTTTCTCTTTCATTGCTTGTTTGTGGGTTTTGGTGTTAGAGATTAAACCCAGAGCCTCATGCACACACATGCTATTCCACTGAGCTACACCCCTAGCCCCAGCATTTATTTTAAAAAGAGAAAGACCACATCTCTTAGGTTCTTTTGTGTTCAAGAGCAATTTTATTTTAATTAAGCATTAAAATTACATAGCTTGTTATAAATTAATGTTTACTTTTAGATAACCAGTATAAATATCAATTAGGCCTACAACTATTTTTTAATGTTTTTTTTTACATTAAAAAGACAGTACTTTTAAGGCACAGTTAGATATTCTAATGCAACAATAAGAACTATTGTAACTCCTATAAACTAAATGAAAGAATTGCTTTAGTTAGGAAACTTTTTGTATACAGTCATAAAACTACAACTTGAATAAACTTGCGTAAAAGGAGATTTTATGAAAAGGAAGAAACACATAGGAAATCTATTTTGCAAATATAATTTCAAGTATAATTGAGAGTATTTCATGTATCTAAAGGATAACAAGCCTGACCTCAGAGACAAGGAACACCACAGCCTCCCTCTCCTTTTGAGCTCAGTGATTCAGTTTCAACCCCCGAACCACCCCCCTGGGCTGGGCTTTCTACCATGGTGACCACAGCAGCTTCTGTGTCCCTTGTCACACAGACTCAGTGAATGTACCTGTTCAAAAAAATCCTGGGACAATCTGTTCTGTTTTCCTTGATCTGGATGACAATATCCAAGAAGAAGGAACATTCTCAGTGGCAAACCACCAGAAGGTCTTGTCAGATTCCAGGCAGAAGTAATTCCCAAAAAATGAGGGGAGGGCAATATATTGAACAGGCTACTGGGCTACAAATCAAGAATAAATAATAAAGTAAGACAAAAACAAGTTCAGGTAAAGCCCCAAAAGAAAGGTAACAAAAAGAGGGAAGATTGGAAATTGGCTTGGGCATCTGTGACTTTCCTTCCCATACCCCCCCCCACACACACACACACACACACACACACACACACACACACACACTTCTTGTGGAAAAGAGCCCAAACAATAAATAAATATTTTCAAAATATTTTAAGGCACCATTTTCTCTGTCCTCTTTCTTAGATGTTTTTTGTCGTTTTCCCTAGGCATCCAAATTTTTGGTCTATAAATTGTCCTCAGAGCTCATATCAAGCACATATAATGTTACTGTTAGAATCATTTCAGAGTTATCTGTGTTATGGGTTCAGATCATGCTCCTGATTCACAGCATTATCTTCCAGGGATTGAGATTCTGATGCAATTTCCAGTTCATGCTCTGTTTTCAGCTGCTGCATTTTCGTGTTTAAATCCAGTAAAGTTCGGGCCAGCTGATGGTTTTGGAAACGCATTTCCAGCTAAAAGATAGGGGGAAAAAATATAAGGATTTTTATTAGCTTGAGATACAGATCAAATGAAACTGCTCTCAACTGCACAGGAGAAATAAGGAGTCTTTGGGAAAGGAAAATAAGATATCAAAAAAAGATGTATTTCTCATCTTATTTTCACGTTCTGACTATTTGGCCTGGCTATAAAACTGACTTTCTATACGACAAGGTAAAATTCAGATATATAAATAGCTTTTGAAATGGCCTTGAAATGAAAACAAAAATAGCTGATGCACAAAACTGTCCATATGAAAAATACCTGTGTACTGAAGGCTGTTTTCAAGCAATGGCATGTGATCCACGATGAAATCATTTATCTTTATGAGCTTTCCCAGCCACAAGATAACTGCCTAAGGCCATCTGAGTGTTCAGGCTCTGGGCCCATTTACTTGATTACTTGTCATTTCAAGTTTTCAGGATTTTAAATGGTCTCTCCAACGAGCAAAAACATTTAACAACACCTTAGAGGCACATGTATAGTTATGTGTACTTATATAATCTAACACTTTTCACTCTAGAATGAAATGTTATATAGCAAGGCTGATTTATACCTCCTCCAATCAGAGTTTATGAAGGTCTTCCTGTGTTAAAATTTTTTAAAACTAGATCTCTAGGGCAGGTTACCCAGGAGGCAGTCCAACAAAGCTTAGCCCAACATAAACTTTGTATTGTAACCTAAAACTAATGATCAACTACTTGTGAATTTCTTGGATCAGGGTCTAGCTTGATGCAGCTCCTGAGAAATTTGCTCTTTCTGCTTAAAATCTCCCATCAACTCGCCAAAAATGACCATCTGAGGATGAACCAGGACATTGTGTAAATAAAAAAGTGCATAATGCATCGGTTGGTGGTCCATATGTAATTTGCAAAATAAAGCTAGTGTGTAAAGTTATCTTTCAGTTTTCCCCCACATTTTTCTTCATTCTTCAACACCTAGAACCACTTCTATGGTAGCAAGAATTAGCAAGGGATAAAGTAGATGGACATCCAGCTAACAAACAGTAAAAGAAAAACACGAAAAGCCCCTACTTGTGGCCTATGGGGAGCTTCAGTTCTCTCTTGGGCTCAGACTCGGGAATCCTGCCCTTTTTTTTTTTTTCCATCTTCTTTTTCTGGAACCCTTTCCCATGCCAGTTCCCACTGCATCTTGAAAACACAACATGCAAAGCCTCACCTCCTTCTGACCTGTGGTTAAGATGCCCTTTACCACTTCTCTTTCTACTGAATGCAATCAAGTGCCAACACTTCTAATTGTGTGGGTAGACATGACTGGCCCCTGCACTGCTTCCACAGCGTTCTGTACACTCGCTCTCGCAACACAAACCAGACTAGACTGATGATGCCGAGGGCAGAGTGTGTGTCTTATTCGTGATTATGTCCCCAGCTTGGGTGCATTGCACACAGCACAATAGTCCTCTCTCTATATGTTTGCTAAAAGACTAAGTGAATGAAGGAATAAATGAATGAACTGATGATAGACAGCCATCCTCTGTCTTCATGCCAAGAATCAGGGAGTAAAATTATTGATAATGGTTCACTCTTTAATAAAGGAAGTATGTGTAATTTATACTTATTTAGGATATTCAAACATCAACAGTTTTTTACCTTTCTTTCATCATGGATGCCTTTGAGAATATGATGAAAGCCATGAACTAGCTATGAGAGGGAAAAAAATGCACTTTATGCACCTAAAAAATTTTACATAGAATTTCAATATATATAACACTGAAACCTACTCACAATACATAAAAACCAATACATCCCAGTAGGAAAAGCAAGTCAAACATAACTCCAAATTAACTGAACTTGTTCATCATATCAAAGAAACATCTTTGGTAAATTCTTTTTTAATATATGATACCTGTGCTTATGTGTATTGGTGTATGTAGATTCCTACAGAAATCTAATTAATTGACCATAATTAAAAATTACTTCTTCTAGTGATGATGATACTAAGCTAAAATACCCGTCTAATGCTTCTTCTTCATGACCAATTACACACATTGGCTAGGTGGTTGGCCAAGACATTGACCATGATTTCTAAATCAAGTACATAATATCTTGTGAATGTATAGAATTCTGTGGTTCCTTTCCAGAAAAACCTTAATTTTTTTACACATAAGTATTTGCTCTTTTTGGCACAGTCAATAACAATAATTATCACAATAAGAAGAGTCAACAAATAATGCCTATGATCTAGGCACTTGGTATAATATTGCCGAATATAATTCTTACAGAAATCCTATGAGATTATTATCTTCATTTTACAGGTGAATAAATAAACTCAAACTTACTAATTAACATCCCAAAGTGGTAGGGCCATCAAATGTTAACAGAGCCCATAAATGCTAATTCTGGGATATGAACCTTCATCTGCTTGGAATTTTATTCCCTATCTTCTCACCCACAAATATACATTACTTGGCTAAAACTCCTACTGGTGGAACAACTTGCTAGAATGTTGTTAAAAGGTGTCTCAGAGTTTCTTCAATATGATCTCTTCACTGGATTTAAATGAGTCCCCTGAGCTGCAGGGAGGGGTAGTGGCATAGGTGGTGGGTACAGAGATGGCTGGGCCTCAGCTTTAGCATTTGGCCTCCAGGTGGCTCCACAATGAGGTGGCTCCTATATCTAGCTAGTTAGACTCACTGCTAAGCCTCTGGATGAAAATCAAGTGTTTCTTCAACAAGGCTATATGGATACAATGGAGCCCTTATCAGATTCGGGTTATTAACATGGTAAAGTAAGATTAACTACCATACTGCCCTTCTTAAAGTCATAAAGGAGATGGATATTATGTTGAGGTACTTAACCAGACAATTCACTAATGTTTAACCATCAGTTCTAAAGTACTGGTTATTGGTATTTAATGTAAAGGAGAAATTTTCAAGTCAAGTCTCCATTACATAATTCATCAGCAGCACCATTTCAAAGCATGAATTGCTTCGATTTATGTTGTCCTTTTCAAACTCTGTTTTAGAGAGTTTTTTTAAATCTTAAAAAACACTCATATAAAATGTTTACATACACTTCCTCCTGTAGCACACTAAGTCGTAACCTGCCTGATATTCAAAAGCTACAGTGTTAGGTGCAGAACAGGCTGAACTATGTTATCTGCAGGGCAGGCTGAAAAATGTTAGCTGCAGGATGGCCCATGCACTCAAACCCCGCTCTGTCTGGTCCTTTATCACCTGTTTGGGTCAAAGCTGAATACTCAACCCCCCCTTGTGCCAACAGCTTGCAGACCCAGAGGCCCCCGTTAGATTTGGGCTATAAAAACTCCCTCCTGCTGGGCCCCCCTCTCTCTTGCTCTCTTGTTCTCTTGCTCTGTCTCTCTCTCTTGATCTCTCTGTCTCCCTTGCGTGCATGTTCTCCTCTCTCTCTCTCTTCCTCTTTCTCTCTTTTCTCCTCCGTTGCACTGCTGCAAAAAGATCTCTTGGTCGCTCCGAGTGTTGTGGTCACTTTCCTTTCATACAGTTTTACAAAACACCTTACCCTTTCCAGTCTTCTGAATTCTTAACAAGAGGTAAAATAAGAGTATCTTGTGGGATATAAAGAAAGAGTTGCTAATGGGCTCACTCCATTTATCCCAGGAGAGTTTATTTCATTGAATTTTCCTCCTCCACACTTCAAATATACACAAGTCAAAAATTTCCTATGGAGAACTTTTCATATAGCAGAATAATATAGAGACAGGTTGGGGAAGGTCAGCTGGGGTCTTGAGAACATCACTAGTACACTAGGCCCTGATCAACCCCGGAGGGCCTCTTCCCACGATGTTACTGGGGCAATGGCAATGAAACCGCAGTAAGTGGACACGAGCTGGCGCCCCGGGAAGACCAAGGACCGCGGTCAACTCTCACTCTCCCTGGGAACAACTCGGGTGGATCTCCCTAAATCCTCGGGTTGGCTACGCAGCCAGAGGCTCTGGAGGCGGAGAAGACCCAGGCGACTACTGCCCGAGAGCCGGCCGCCCAGCCCGCGCGCTCACCAGCTCTGCGCGCAGCCGGCCCAGAGCGCTCTCCACGCGCGCCCGACTCTGCTCTTCCAGCGCCGGCGCCTCCGCCGCCGCCTCGGCCGCCGCGGCAGCCTCCCGCGCACGCCGCGAGCCCCAGCGCGCCATAGTGCGCTGCAAGGCGCACATCAGCCGCCGCCGCAGGTCCTCCAGCGGCGGGTTGGCAGCCGGAGATTCCTCCTGGACAGCCCCCGAGACGAAGGGTTGGGGGCCACAGTCGAGCTCTGCTGGCGACTCCATGGGGCCTCCAGAAAATTCTCTCTGTGCAGTGACCGTAGTCCCGGAGCCCATCGCGGAGATGCAGAGTTGCTCCTTCGGCGCTCTTGCTGGCAATTTGTTTGCAAGTTTGAGCTTTAGGGAGGGTCAGGGCAGGGGCGTGGGCAACTAACAGTACCAGCAAGACCCTTGGAGGAGTAGGACGAGCTCACTGCTCATCCACTTAAAAGAGGCTGCTTTGTTTCCAGCCCTGTCTCTGTCCTTTCTCCCTCTTTTGCAGCAAAGGAAGGAAACTGGGTCATTGTTTTTGCTTTGTGGAGTGGAGAATCTTTCTATGGAGGAGGCGGCGAAGACTGAACCTTCAGTCCACGTAGGTAGAAGTTGAGAAAGTCAAGATAGAATATCTTGACACTAAACCTTCCCGGGTGCCTTGGTTTTTGAATACTTTGTTCCTTGAAAACAAATTTCTGACTTTCCACCTGTCAGGCACCGTGCCAGGTGTTGGGGATGTAAAGACTAATTATTAGACCCCACACCCACCTCTCCCCAAGTATCCTGGTCAAAGGGGGAGGAACTTGAGCCCATTTGCGAGTTTGAACAGTCTTTCTATAAATCCAATGACTTCTGCTGGGGATTCTGAAACTCGGTTTTTTTTTCTGTAGGTGACTCCTTCTACCACGTCCACGTTTAAAACGAAGTTCAGATGAAACACAGAAACTCCCTTTACCCCAAAGCATGTACTTTGGTAATTTCCAATTCAATGTAATCATGTGCCAATATTACACTCTTCCCAAAGAATACCAAGTCAAAAGGCTGCCTCTTTTTGATCTAGTAGAGAATTTCATAAAAGGAATAAACAATCAAAACTTTTGTGTTCTCATACTCTGCAATGACTAAACAAATAAATAAAAATAAACAGTGACTGAAACGCTCACTTGGAACTCTCATCTTAGAGTTATTCCTTCAATAAAGTTGTACAAATCACCTGTAAGGTTCCAAGGTTCCTGGTAAGCACTGAAGGCAGTAAGAGCCCATTTTTATTAATGCTTACTATATGGCAGGTGCTTTCCATGGATTAACCTATTCAACCTTCACAATAGCCCTGGCAAGGTAGGTGCTATTAGTTTCTGTGTTTTCCAAATGAAGAAACTAAGCAAAAAGTTAAAATGCATATTAAAGGCCACCAAGCTGTTAGGTGGTCCACTGGGGATCTGCACCTAGGAAAGTTGGTTTGTGCTCCAGACCACTGGAATACACTCTGGATATGCCCAACCTTCCAAAGAGAAAGGAGAATGGCTCAAGTTATATGTTGCATGAGTGAGTGAAAAAGGGAATGCTCAAAATACTGTGCTCATAACAATCAGCTCTCCTGAAATACCTGTGGTGTACAATGGATTAGAAGGAACACAGGTTACCAGATTTCTGCAGATAATCTGACAAATTCAACACTTTACAATAATTTACAACCTCAGTACAATGAAATGCTTATCATTGTACATTGTTCATCTTTATATTCTCTAGAAACATTTGAAGTTGTGTTCTCTTGGTAGAGGTTATGAATTCTATATGATTTACTATTTGTTAGCAAAGTATAATGTGGTGAGGGGTTGTTTAGTTTTTGGTGATCAGTTGAGGGGACTAGAAAACTAGCACTACTCAATGAACAGTATAAATGCTTAAAATGCATGTTCTGCTATGATTTTTCACTTGTATTTCCAGATCATTTTTTCTCAACCAGAATTTCAGTTAAGTTTGATTTAATTCCACAAACAGTGAATGAATGGTGTAGGTCCAGTGTCAAGCATTGTACATATGAGGGAGATACAATGATGAATAAAATACAGAGCCCAGAGCTGGGAAAGGAATTCATTCATTCATTCAATAGGATTGATTTAATGTCTTGTTATATACTAAGGATTATACATGATGCTCAGGCTACAATGATAAACCAAGGGACAAAATTGTGTTTTAAAATTAATAATTTCCTTCTATAGACTGATTTTTCAGCTGGGATGTACTTTGAATTTTATTATAATTTTTTTCATTGTGGTTCTGATTTGATTTTTTCTGTGCTGAGAAGAAGCTTTTTAGTTTGCTGTAATCTTTTGTTTTTGTTTCCTATACTTTTGGGATCTTGTCCATAACATCCTTGCTTGTCCAGATGTCCTGAAGCATTTCCCCTAAGTTTTCTTCTAGTAGTTTCATAGTGTTTAGTCTTACATATAAGTCTTTAATACATTTTTAGTTTATTTTTGTAAATGGTAAGAGGTAGGGATGACTTTGACTCTTCTTGATTCTTAAAAGACATAAAACTTTTTTTAATATTTATTTTTTAGTTTTAGGTGGACACAATATCTTTATGTGGTGCTGAGGATTGAACCCCGTGCCTCACAGGTGCTAGGCGAGCACTCTACCACTTGAGCCACAACCCCAGCCCCGAAAGACATAAAACTCTTTAAAGAAAAAAATTAACACTATCTGTGTGGGGTTTTTTTTGGGGGAGGGGGGTATATTTTTTTTGTCCCTAGTGCCTCTCCTTTCCCTTCCCTCCTCCCTCTGCCTATTCCTCTTCCTCTACACTACTGGTCTTCCTTCTACTCATTTACTTATTTATTTGTTTTATGTGGTTTATAATGAATTTTGATGTAATATATGTGGCAACTATAGGTTAAATGTTGGGAACAAAAGAGATGTATATTTTATGTTAAATGACACATGGTATTAACCTTAAGTACACTGAAAAATATTAAGAGCAAATATTTTTAAGCCTGGAGCAATCACTAAATAATAATGCAAACAGGTATAGCTAAAAAGCCAAACTAAAATGTCTCCCTAAAATGTTAAGATAATCCAATAGAAGGCTGGAATGGAGATACACAGAATTAAAACACCAAGGGGATAAACATAAAATACTAAAATGGAAGACCTAATTAGATCACATCAAAATTACATTAAATATTAATGTACTCAATACTCCAACTAAAAGTTAAAGATACTCAACTAGATCTTTAAAAGTGGGGACAAAATATATTCTTTCTCAGGAACCTTAACTCGAACTTCACTTCTTTTTTTCCTCTTCAGCCATCTACTCAGAACAATTGTTCTTTTAAGCAATGGGTTCTGTGTGTTCCCTCTCCAAATAAAATGTTCCTGAGTGCTCTTTACAAAAAAAAATAATAATAATAAGTACTTCTCTCGGCTTGAAAGATTTTCCTTATAAGCTTAAGATAAATACCTATAATATTTTTTGTGAGCAGCTTAGTAATAGTTTGGGCCATTTCGAAATCTATGGGGAAAGTGGTCATTTCATTTTCTGGTTAATTAGCAAAAATTCCTCTTTGGTTGTGCAATGTCCAAAAGATCATTATTGTTTTCCTAACAATTTGCCAGAACTCTGGGTTCAAAGGCTCTTATCACATCCCAGCTTCACCTCTTGCATAAGCTCTCTGGGTCAATTTGTTGATAAGTAAAATGAGAATAATCTTTTATTCTTCACACAAATGCTAGGTAGATTAACTAAAGCACCCAGAATTTCACTGAGACAAGTTCATAACAATTCACAAATACTATTTTTTGTTGTTTTTGTTCTTTTTAGTTACACATGACAATAGAATGTATTTTGACATATTATATACAGATGGAGTATAACACCCCATTCTTTTGGTTGTACATGATGTGGAGTTACACTGGTCATGTATTCATATATGAACATAGGAAAGTTATGTCCAATTCATTCTACTGTCTTTCCTATTCCCATCCTTCACCCTTCCCTTCATCCCCCTTTGTCTAATCCAATGAATTTATATTCTGCCCCACCCCACCTTATTGTGTGTTAGCATCTGCATATCAGAGAGAACATTTGGCCTTTGGTTTTGGGGGATTGGCTTATTTCACTTAGCATGATAGTCTCTAGTTCCATGCATTTACCAGCAAATGCCATAATTCCATTCTTCTTTATGGCTGAGTATTCTATAGTGTATATGCATGACACTTTCTTTATCCATTTGTCTGTTGAAGGGTACCTAGGTTGGTTCCATAGCTTGGCTATGGTGAATTGAGCTGCTGTGAACATTGATGTATTAGCCTCACTGTAGTATGCTGATTTTAAGTCCTTTGGGTATATGCCAAGGAATGGGATATCTAGGTCAAATGGTGGTTCCAATCCAGGTTTTCTAAGGAATATCCATACTGCTTTCCAGAGTGGTTGCACCAATTTGCAATGCATCTGTGAGCCTTTCCCCCCACATCCTCGCCAACAACAAATGCTGTTCTTGTTATATAAGGGACATGATCAAGAATCTTGCCATAAAGATACATTACTTAACACTGCATCAAGAGATATCATTGAGCTGTATATCTAAGATACAGAAGAATTGGTTTTAGGATTCCAAGAGAAACTCAGTCAGGTCTAAACTACAGAAGTGATACCAAGATAGCCAGTGTCCATTCTAGTGGACAACAATTTTAAACTGCCAGTGACCATGTGCAACCAATATAGTAATCTCCGTCACAGTGGTAGACTGTGTTATTGCTTAACATATTCTCTGTCTCTCTTGGTGGAAAGGTTATTCTTTCTCTACTCCACTGACCTCAGGCTGGGCTGTGAGATTTGCTTAAGGCAATGAACTATGAGCAAAAGGACATGTCCCATTTGCCAGCAAAAACTTTAGGTGCCATCACACAATCCCTGTCTTCTCCAACAGCATTCAGGTAGGCAGCTCCGACACCCTCCCACACCCTCCCACACCAGAAGCACAAGGGAAGCTGGCCCATCATGCCTGTGGAGCTTGAGTAAGAAACAAACATTTGTAGTAATCCATGGAGATTAGTGTTTACTTTTTAGAAAATCCTCATATCTGATTCTCCCTCTGATCTCTCTCTTTTCCCTATAAATAGAGTGTAGATGTAAGCATGCAGAAGACAGAAAGTTCTGGTCAATTGAAGTTTTACTGAATCATTGGTATAAAGAGATGTATGGAAGCTTATTTGCCTAACAAGGAAAAATCTAGTTATTAAAAGGTACAAATAAATTCTAGTAACTGTCCAAATACATTTGCTCTTTTATTAGATGAGTT